GCAATGCCTCGAGTAATCTTGTTGGAGACATAGATTGAAGAGGTAAGGGCTAAGCTGGAGGAGCTCGAGGAAGAGCGAGTGGTGATACATATCGTGATTGAGGAGTCATCAGTGGAAGTAAGCCTGTTGACAAACTGGTAGGCATGTGCTGTGATATTGTGACAGCGAAATTTATTTTTGTTTTTTGATGAGCATTGGAACAATGTAATGAATGTAGTTGTTTTGATCATTTGTTAGAATGAAGACCCTGAGTGGACATTATATATATTTTTGAAGCCTTCTTGTGGCGGTAAGACAAAGACTTTAATGTTGAAATGAATGGATATTGTTGTCACTACTTTTGTGACGACCCACTTTTTTTTCAAGCCAGTGCGTCATGTGATGAACCAAAAGATGACCCGATAACGGATCTGAAATGCGGAAGCGAAAGAAGCCAAATAACCTCAAGAGATGTACGTCATCCCTAAGGCCCCAAAGTGACTCTCCATGAAGCCACGGAACTCAAATGAGCTTAGCAAATGAAGCAAGAATGCCTAACCCTAAAAGAAATTAACCAAGGGCAAAATGGTCATTTCTTACTGAAATAGGTGCCACCGTGCACACCATTGGAAGGACAACGAAAAATAAACAAAATTAGACTCAAGAATCATCTGATACTGAGTCCGGGTAGAAAAGATATGAAATTCCCATACCCGATGCGAAAGTTATGAAGTAATGACTTAACATTTTCCAATATTTTCATAATAAACTTTGAAAACAAAAGTGCATGGAAAACGAAATACATGTCATTTCTAGCAGGTCACGAACAAGATTTATGACAACAAGAATCGGGTCGGTGAAGTTGTCGAGTCTCAGGTTGCACAGGTTAATCCTGTAGTCCCTGTCGAGGCCTTGTATGCAAATATCTAGTTGATCTTTTTCGCTATTGTTTTCGAAGCAACCTTTGGCTCGGGTCTGGAAACGCGAGACAAATTTGAGAGGAGTCTCACCCTACAATTGAGTTTTTTTCATCAGGGAAAGTGTTGTTATACGCTTTTCAGCCTCCCAGAATTTTGTGAGGAATTTATTAACCATCTGCTCCTAGGTGGTTATAGAATCTCTCCCTAGACTTTTATACCACCGGTACCCTAATTCGGTGAGTGACTTAGAAAATTCTCGTAGTCGTAGTAGGGTATCATGGCTATGTCCACCGAGCGCTTCGATGAAACGAGTGATATGCTCTTCCGGGTCGCCGGATACACCATCGTATTTGGGGTATTTGGGGAATTTAGGGGCGGGTAAGGCGGTTCATTTCAAAATGCCAACGATCGGGCCGTACCGTGTAATACTCTTAATTTTAAAAGGATAGTCTCGGTATTAATTTGTTTGTTTTAATTGCATTTTTAATTAATTGATTGATTTCTTGGCTATCTGCTTAATTGTTTAAATTTATTGTGTGCTAAAATAATTTGTCTTAATTAATTTAGTAATTAAGTTGTTTGCTTTGATAAGGTGTAATTTGTTTGGATGTTTTTACTTGCTTAAATGATGTGTGGTTTACTTGAAGTTATTTGTTAGGATTAAATGATTTAATTGCTTTATGTTTTATTTTATTTTATATTTCTAAAAAGATGGATTTGGATAATAGTAATGGACTACTCACTTGGGTTACATGGATTACTTGGATATGATGAGTAATGGGTACGGATATTTTACCCATGGATTTTGGTACATATATATATGGGTATATATGTATATTTATGGATATTATATTAAAGAATTATATTAATAGGTATAATTAGGTAATGTATATATATATAATATAAGTTAAATTTATATATATATATATTTACGTGCGGATTTAATATTTATTTATTATTACTTTTATTTTATTTTTTATTTTTGTTTTTCCTTAAGCAGACTTGTGTTTCATATAAGATTAGGGTTAAATCTTTTGCCTATATATATATATAAGTCTGTAAAGGAGGAGGCTAGGTTTATTATGTGAGTTTTATTAGTCCTAGAGAAAGAGAAATAACAGAGAAAAGAGAAGAGAAACCGAGAGAGGAAGCTAGGGTTCAGCCAAGAGGGCTGAACCAAGGAGGAAGAGGAAAAGGGGCTGGCTCGTGGGTGAAACCAAGAGCGGCAGAGGAGGTTCAATGGCAACTAAGGTCGCCAGAAAACTTAGGTCGCCAGAAAACTTAGGAAGAAGACGGTTAAAGGCTTCAAACCGAAACCTTGAGAGACAAGTTTTACTTCTATATCATTCCATTTGATTCGTGTTCTATACATGCCTATCAGATAATAAACTGAACTTGGTTGCATGCTTAAATTTATTTAAAACATATTTTATATGTTAGTACATGTTCTTGCTTAATCTTGGGGATTGTTGTATGCGACTTTATTTTGGTTCATGTTTAAGATGTATATAATCTATATAAAATAATTTGGGATCAGTTGGAACTTAGAACAGAGGTTTAGGACGTGTAACAGAGGTGATCGAAATGATCAGAGGACGTCGGAAACGAATAAGAAGGAGTATAGTGCGGCTCTCATGAAGGGAGCCGGCTCCCTCATTAATAGAGTCGGCTCCTACTTATGGGGAGCCGGCTCCCACAATGACATAGCCTGCTCCCTCAGTTGGGAGCTTGCTTTCGCGCTGGAATTTTGCAGAAATTGATTATTTTTAAGTTTTTGTTTGGCAGTTTGGGTTATTCCAGTGATGTGGTGACAATTTGGATGAATTAGATGGTTGAAATGGTGGGAGCTTGCTCCATTAGTTTGAGAGCTTGCTCTATTAGTGTGAGAGCTTGCTTCATTAGTTTGAGAGCTTGCTCTATTGAGGACAGAGCTTGTTCTCTAGAAAATGAGAGCATGCTCCATCGCTGGGAACTAGTAGATTTTGGTTTTTAAAAGTTCTGTTTGACTGTTAGGATGGTTCCAATAATGTTTAATTCAGTTTGGACGATTTATATGATTTAAATAAATTGGATTAATAACCGAAATGCATAATCTATGACTATATGCTATGGACTTGAAAAATATGAAGTTTTAAATCAATTTGCATATTGTTAACTAAGGATTTCATTGCTTAATATTATTTAGCAATTTAAATGGATGAATATTGGAATTAAACTAATTTAATCAATTAATTGGATTTAAATAGTTTAATTACGTCCTAGAGGTTAAAACAATCTATTTTAGATGCATGTTAATTTATTATCGTAAAATTAAATGCATGCTACTTAGAGTTATTATTTTTGCTTAATTATATGTAAGGATATATATATATATATGATTTTTATCATGTATTTTGGATTATTTGATTTACTGCTTTATCTGTTGCATCATGTATTAGATTGTGTGGTTTAATGCGTGGGTATGGGACCGGTGGCATTTTAGGGACGGATTGACCAAAGAAGTTAAATCCTACCTATTTTGTATAAGGGAATGGATTAAATAAAAATGTTAAGTCCTACTTATATTTAAGTCAGATCAACTGAACAAGTTGAATGACTATCTGGATTACTTATGGATGGATATGATGGATTTTATGTATATGATTATGGTACCATGATATGAGCTTGAGTCTCAAGATTATGGTTAGGGTGCGTATATCGTCTAGGATGGATAACTGGACATAGTAAACATTGTGTACCCTGGTAGGTCTAGGTATACATGCTCACTTTATGTGTGATTTGCATGTTACCTTCTATTTAGGTTGAGACAGACTTATGGACTAGTGAGCGTCATATAGTGTGTATCTATATATATATATACAGACTATTAGTTATTGTTGGATTGACTAGGATGTATACGTTGTATCGGGTCTTTACTTGGATTGTAGTAGAGTATAACTTGTTCATGAGCCTGACCCACCCTTATTTTTCAGATATTCGTCAAGAGTATGGATTGTTCATACTGAGCAGGGATCATCTACTTCAATCTTCCAGATTGTCTTTATAGGAGTTTCCTTTATGATTTAATTTATTGTTATAGACCGTTGATTATTTCAGTTTTGATTTTTCAGGGGTCCACTTAGTATGGATTCCCGAGTTGTGTATTTGGAGGATCACTTGTATCAAAAGAATTTATTAATGAAAATTTATACTGAGGTTTTATTAATGGATTAGCATTTTAGTTTCTTTCAGTTATTTATTTATTCTTTTTTGTCTATTTTGTACTCTGTGTTCGATTATTGCCGATTTATTTTTGATATTTTCGGATATTCGGGTGTGGGCCTGGCCAACCCGTATCCGGAAATCCGGAGATATCACATACCGGGCGACTTTTTTAGGAAGAACTGAAGAAGTCTCGAAGCCGAGACTCAGTGACCAGTCCATCTTCTTTGTCCGATGGGTTATATAATACCCCGATATTTTAAATGATTTATTAATTGGGATTAATTACTTTTATTTTATTTAAAAATGATTTGTTGGATTTAATTGGTATTAATTACTTTTATTTTATTTTAAAATGATTTATTTTATTTAATTGAGTGCTTAGATTAATAATTTTATTTTAATTAAATTATATTTCGTGATTATATGTGTTGAATTGACATGACGTTTTGCTTTGTTGAATGATACGATTGAATTGTTTATTTGATTTGTGTGTTTTTATCCTTATGTGAATTGTTTGTTAATTATTTGTAATTATTAAATTTAATTTAAATAATTTATTTTAATTGGATTGGACTTAAAAGGATTAGAACCAATGGTCTTGGTCTTGAAAGAAGGCCCATGTGATTATTTAAATGATTATTTTTAGTATAAATAGAAATAAATATATAATTATATATATAAATATAATTAGTTAATAAGTTTTGTGTAAAGATATATATATATATATTATATATATATATATATTATAATAAATTTGTGTGTGTGTATATATTATAATAAATTTGTGTGTGTGTGTGTGTATATATATATATATATTAGTTAATGATTATATTATTATTATTTCTTTTATTTGGTATTCCTACTAGGGTAATAGGTCGGTGCACGCTTATAAATACCCCTAGCCCCCCAATATCCGAGTGAAAGCCAATTTTGTTCTGCCGAAACCCTAACCCTAACCCCGAAAGCGTCCTCCATCCGATTTGGTTCGTTCAAGTCTGCACTTCGATTAGGGTTTAGAAGTTTATTATCAGAAGCATTCCGATTTGGTTCGTTCGAGTCTGCACTTCGGTTAAGCATGTCGCGGTGTTTTGCTTATCCCCCTCCTGGGTATTCGTCGCTGAAGGATTCGATCAAGGTTGGTAAATATATATATATATATATGACCATGTGTTTGTGGATATATATATATATATATATATATATATATTGAAGAACCAAGAGACCAGATTTGTTAATATATTTTTTTATTGCGTTGAGTTCGTTCACAACCAGGCCTTGCTAAATAAATCACAAATCACAAATCACAGGTTATAATTATAGGACCTGGTTATGGTTAATCGAAGTCAAATAAATAAAAATTTACCAAGTCCTGTAGGAAGGGGAAGCTGAATATGGAGTGAGTTATGAAAAGACCGTCTTAATGTGGATATGGTTTGGCGAAGAGTGAATTTTAAAATTTGTGTAGTTATAATAGGTGAACATAATTTCAAATTTTTTTTTTAAATATATAATTCAAACCTGTTATGTGTTTTACATTGCCTGTATAGTTTACATGAACTTTGAATTCTTCAAATTGGAGAACTATAGCTCCCATTTGAAATAAAAATATTAAAACTTCAAGTGAATTATTGAAGTTGGACTTTTATCCAAATGGAACGTATGACAATTGACATCTTAGAAATTGGGTTTTGGTTTTTAGGACTCCTTTTGGAGTTTTCAGGACTCCTTTTGGTCTGACAAGGATATAGGGTGACATGTGCTGGAAATTGTATAGTTGTCAGGTGTTCTTGTTCACTTGGTACAAATTTGTGCAGTATGTTTCACCATGTTGCTAGTGATGTATAACTTTCGTTAGCAATGGCATGCTTGCATACTTAAATGTTATTCTCTAGGCCTCTCTTCTAAATTTCAATTCTGGTGCTTTTTAAAGCTCCAGAGGGGAATAGAGAAGGTCAAGGCAGAAAGGAAGAAAGAAAAGAAGAGGGAGAAGAAAGACAAAAAGAGAGAGAAGGGTGAAAAGAAAAAGCAGGATGGAAGTGATTTTTGTCATGGGGAAGAAGGAAAGCTTAATGATAAGAAGATCCTTAAAAGGGATAGGGAAGGTTTGAAAGGATGCTCCACTGAGAAGAGGAGAGAAAATGTAGCTGAACAATTGGAAAGAAGCGATATCACTGAAGAACACGAGCAGCCTGTCAGTTCACAGAATGCCTGCTACTCATGTGACAGCACCCAGAACAGCAACAAGAGGCCGCGGCATTCCCCTCCTTTAGATGAGAGCCATAGTCATGGTAAGTTTATGCTTGTTTTAGCTTTTCCTTTTTTTATTATTTATTTGTAGGAGTTTTTTTTTGGGTTCAGGGGTGGAATGCTTTTTGGAGGCCCTTACATTTTTTATGTTGTGATCTTCAAATAGGCAATGTCATCAGGATTCGGTTGCCCTTGCAAAAGGCCAAAGAATCTGTTGCATTGGCTAGTGAAGTACCATCCAGCTCTATTTCTGGAAGGATAGTTTCACCTGCCCAGCCTGATTATGGAGCAGTAGCTCATGGTCCCAGTCGAGAAGAGTTACGCTCTACTTCGAGAGTGACAGGCATCATTGATTTGCAGGGTGTCACCCATAGACCTGGCAAAGAACCAAGTTGTTCAGCATCTGCGAGGACTACATCCCTTGCTCAGGATAACAAGCAGAATGCCTCTGTTATACCTGGCAAAGAACTGAGTTGTTCAGCATCTGCAAGGACTACTTCCCTTGCTCGGGGTAACATGCAGAATACCTCTGTTAGACCTGGCAAAGATCCGAGTTGGTCAGCATCTGCGAGGACTACATCCCTTGCTCAGGATAACAAGCAGAATGCCTCTGTTATACCTGACAAAGAACTGAGTTGGTCAGCATCTGCAAGGACTACTTCCCTTGCTCGTGGTAACATGCAGAATACCTCTGTTAGACCTGGCAAAGATCCGAGTTGGTCAGCATCTGCGAGGACTACATCCCTTGCTCGGGATCAGATGCAGAATACCTCTGTTAGACCTGGCAAAGAACCGAGTTGTTCAGCATCTGTGAGGACTACATCCCTTGGTCTGGATAACATTCAGAATACCTCTGTTCGACCTGGCAAAGAACTGAGGACTACATCCCTTGCTCAGGATAACATGCCGAATGCTTCTGTTAGTAATGGCAAAGAACCGAGTTGTTCAGCATCTGCAAGGACTGCATCCCTTGCTCGGGATAACATGCAGAATAAGAATACCTCTGTTAGACCTGGCAAAGAACCGAGCTGTTCAATATCTGCAAGGACTACATCCCTTGCTCGGGATAAGATGCAGAATACCTCTCTTAGACCTGGCAAAGAACTGAGTTGTACAGCATCAGCTAGGACTACATCCCTTGCTCGGGATAACGTGCAGAATGCCTCTGTTAGACCTGCCAAAGAACTGAGTTGTACAGCATCTGCGAGGACTACATCCCTTGCTCGGGATAACATGCAGAATACCTCAGTTAGACCTTGCAAAGAACCTAGGACTACATCCCTTGCTCAGGATAACATGCAGAATACCTCTGCTATCATGTCATTTGGAAATGGGATGAAGAAAGAAAAATCCCCATATAAAGATTTGTTTGAGATCCCGCTGCCACCTTTGCAAAGCTATCAAGCTGAATTTGATGATCAAGAATGGCTGTTTGGAAGAAAGCTTCAGGATAAACAGAGGGATGAAAGATGTACCGCCAGCAGTTATGTTTCCAGTTGTGCCACCTCCGCGTTGTGGCCTTGTGCTCAATACTTGCCCGAAGCTGATATATACGCATTGCCCTACACAATACCATACTAAGCTTCCTCAGTTTTGTGCTTCGTTGGAAGGAGAGCGTAGCGGTGCTGAATATTCTTGTAAAGCACCACCAGTGGCCATCTTATATAACTTTTCAAGCAGCAAGTGTGTCGAGGCATGGTACACACGTTGGAAGCTCAGTATCATAATCCATGACTCGCCAATTTTCTTTCTTGGATATTCATTGCATTTGCTAATTGCAAATCACGGAAGAGTGTATTTTTTTTTTGGTTACTTTGAATTCCAGAGTCAGAATTTTGTATTATTTACTCTTGACCAATTCTTTTGAATCGAGAGTTTTTATATTCTTCATTGTATGCTGAGAATGTCATTTTTAAGAATGTACCTGTTTGCATCACCTTACATTTTTTGTCCCGAGTTGGAAAAACCAGTGGATTCTATGCCTTCTTGGGGATTCTAAAGGCCACATGACTCTTTTGGTAAGATGCATATTGCATATACCTGATGCGTTACGCTTTATCTGGCATATAACATACACTTTTGGTAAGATGCACCTCAAGGTACTTGATCTGGCTTTTTGCATATAACAAACGCTGCAAATAGAAATTCAAAGAATTATTTTCAAAATTATTATTCATCAAGTCATTCTTCAAGATATATGGATATGTAATGCTTACTTTAGTAGGAGGTTTTTTTATGTCAGTTTCGGGATAGTTTACAAAAGAGATCTAACCTAAACTCTCAAGCTGACCAAAGGTGGTTTAGGCTATAATGGTATAAGACCAAGGTCGATGGTTCAAGTTTAGTAGGGACATTATGGTTGTTGGGGGTTCAAGTGCCCCTATGTTCCCAAACTTCAATGTTGGAAGACACGTCATTTCGTAGCATGTTATGTCCATCTGGTACTTTTGATTTAAGCATGGCTCTCTTTCCACCATATTAGTTTTACTCAAATATTCACTTTTTCCGACGAGAACTTGAACCCTCAACCTCTTACTTTAGAAGGTGAAGACCATCATTAAACTACACAACCTTTAATCATTACATTAGTTGAAGCTCACCATTTTGTACGGCTAATTATAATTGAAAATCACAATTTTGTAAGCCTAATTGTAGCTGTGGCGTGCATCATATGATTCCAAATTGTATGAACTTAAGGTTGATAGCTGCAACATTGATCTCTAACTCGAAAGATAAAATTATGTTTTGTAAAAAAAAATGTAGTGAATTCAACACAAGGGAATCATAATTTTAGCCTAAAGGACTTAATCAAGGCATTGCCTAGTCACTAGTTAGGCTACCAAAAATGTTGCACATTTCATTCAATACAATGAAAAAACATTTAATTGCAAGAGAAGTTTGAAGTTGGAAAATGTATTTTTAATAGTATTAGAGAAATTTTAAAAAATAAATAGACAAAGTTAAGTAAGGTCATATAAACGTGAGTGAGAACTTGGTGAAAGACTGAGAGTGCACTCTTATTAGTTACCACCTCTTTTGTCTTTATAAAAACTTACCGTAACTAGTTTCCATAAATTGATACTAACCCTCTAAGAACACGTATACTTGTCGTGGTAATATTAAACATGCTTGAGACATGATTCTAATTGAATTAGTGATTTTAGTTACAATAATGTAAATAGTTATTATTTTTAAAAAGTTTTCTGTCATATTCATGCTTTATTTTGGTAACTTGCACTTTTTTTTTTTCCTTTTTTTTTTTTATTTTTTATTTTTTATGATATTTCACAAATTTTCACACAAACTCTTTTACATTTCATAACCCCACTAACCTAACAGGAGGTTAGGGTTTATTTATTGTTGGTAAATGACAACAAATATTTCCTAGACAAAACGATTAATATATAATATTAACAAATTTTAAAAAAGATAAGTGAAAATTTTATTTTTATTTTAAAAATCTTTCATATCACTTTATTAATATATGTTTTATTCATATAACGTGTGCTTATTAATTATCATATTAAATAAATTGATTTTGGACATTTATTTTGGGAGGAATAGGATTGACCACAGATCGGATTTGAATCCCATTCGCTCCCCAATAGATTGAAATTTTTTTAATATGTTACTAACTCGTGAGATAACGGATCGAATCGAATTTGTGAAATGACAGATCGAATCACGAAGTAAAATTCTTCTTAAATAGTTTAATATTATTTATTTTTTAACTAGCCTAGATAAAATTTCAATTTATCAACAATAGTTCATATATTTTATTGATCATTAACTAACACCTTTTTATAATTCAATTAATAATTAATTAATACATTCTTGAAAGATTTATAAATTTTACAGACTAGATCGAATTTTAACGTTTCAATTCATAAGATAATAAAGATTCAATTTTTTAAAATTTCTCACCAATTCGTAGGCATAACAATTCAATCCGATCAAATTTGGATTCCCGATTCATGAATTATTTGACACTAGGAGTAAAATAATAATAATCCGGGGTAAAGAAATTGGATGGTAACTTGCAGATAAAAAATCCATGACACGTCCCATATTTAAGTCTTCGTAGAGTTTCCTCATAACGAGGCTGGACTGAATCAGTAGAGAGAAAATGATAACGAACGGAGTTGAGGACGAAGAGAAATGGCTCGCGGAAGGCATCGCCGGCATTCAACACAACGCCTTCTACATGCATCGAGCACTGGTAATCGATCACACAATTCATGTTCAATTTCAATTCTCAGAATCGAAACCCTAACTTTTTTCACATGACTCTAATCTGATCGATTTGTTATCAGGACTCTAACAATCTTAGAGACGCTCTCAAATATTCAGCGCAATTGTTGTCAGAGCTTCGAACTTCGCGATTATCTCCTCACAAATACTACGAACTCTGTAATTTTTTTGTTCCATTACTCGGATCTAGATCGGTTGATTCTTTCTTTATTTATTTATTTATTTTTTTGGATAATTAAAGCGTGAATTGTCATTTTTATGTATCAGATATGCGAGCGTTTGATGAATTGAGAAAGCTGGAGATGTTCTTCAAAGATGAAGATAGGCACGGTTGTAACGTCGTTGATCTTTATGAACTCGTTCAACATGCTGGAAATATATTGCCAAGATTGTGAGTTCGAGTGAAATTTTCAGCAACTATTTAATTTTATTAATTACTGAACAATTCTTAAAGATTGAATTTTCAAACTGTGTGCGTTCAAGTCTCCAATTCTCTGTTGGTTGCACGAGTTATTTTGTTAATTTTCTTCTCTTATAGGTGACCATGTTTTTTAACCTTCCATGTACATGCATGCGCATATATATATATATATATATATATATTCCAGATATTGTATACACTGTTGGAACATTATCACTTTTGCAGCAACTATTTAATTCCATTAATTATTGAGCAATTCTTAAAGATTGAATTTTCTAAATGTAAATGCATTCAAGTCTCCAATTCTATGTTGGATGCACGAGTTATTTCGTTAATTTTCTTCTCTCTTACAGATGGCCATATTTTTTAACCTTCTATGTACATTCATGCGCGCGCGCGCGCACACATATATCCCTGATGTTATATACACTGTTGGAGCATATGATTTTTGTGTTGTCGATCAATCAGGTATCTCCTATGTACGGTGGGATCTGTTTACATCAAATCAAAGGAGGCTCCTACTAAGGATGTTCTTAAGGATCTTGTTGAAATGTGTCGTGGTGTTCAACATCCCATACGAGGGCTCTTTCTAAGGAGTTATCTTGCTCAAGTCAGCAGAGATAAGTTACCTGACATCGGTTTTGAGAACGAAGGGTAATATGACTAAATGCTTTTATTTTAGTGTAGTTATATGAATGTGGATTTTTCTATGCCATAAACTGACCTATGAAACTTTTTGGCTTAATGTTCCTTAAATGCAACTTGAACTCAGTAAAAACTTATATTCCATATGCTTGGCACAGCTATCAATTTCTATATCTTTTTGTGTTGAGAGAGAGAGCGACGGAAATGGCCGCTTGTTACAAATATGTATAGCCGCCGTTTTAAGTAGAGAGAGTGACGAGGAAATGACCATTACTTACAAAAAAAAAAAAAGAGTTTGAAGGGGAATGCTGAAAATTTTGGCCCTAAATCAGTTCTCTCTCTCTCAGCTTGCTTTGCTAGTATAATATTTGCTTGCTTCACCAATTGGGAGTTTGTGCATGTGCAACTTTGTAGGGTTGCATATGCACGGTGTAGCTCTTGGCCTGCTAAGAATTTAGTCTGGTTTGGGATATGAATTTGACTGCTTTTAGCCTGTCTGGCTAATTATAGATCAACTGTTTTGAAGCAAATTAGAAGAATTCTATTTCGTAGAGGGAAAAAAAGAACAAATAACGGAGAGACCTGTTGCTCATAAAGATAAGAGTTTACAAAAGGATTTTTCCTTCAATCACATAAAAGGAAACAAAGAGAGTGAGTTATGTAAGAGAATACAATTTGTAAAGCACTATAACTAGAAAACATCATATATATAGTGCCAATGTAGGGGGGTGGGTTTCTAGATGTGCTGAATAATAATAAATTATTATAGCTGCTTCTAGTATGTATTTGTTTATATCCTTTGATTATAAAGTGTACAAATAACATGGCCAGGTAATATCTGCTCATCCCAGCCAGTGTTGTTAAAGGCGCGCCTAGGCTTGAGGCTCAGGCTCATTGATGTTTACTAGGCACGCGCTTTGGTTGTGCCTCGTCCTGTTTGTGTGCGCCTCACTGATATTTGTTTAAAAAAATACGATTGTTCTATTTCTTAAGTCAGAAAGGGTACTTTTGGCAACTTAATAAACAAAAAAGAAAGTTCAATTATACGATATAAGGAACTTTTGTTCAAAAGAATAAAAAAATAAGAAAGCCCAAGACGAAGAATGAGATTGTGAGACAAAGACGAAGCCCTAGTTGCAGAGTTGAACGACGAAACCACGTCAGTTCTTTCTTTTCTTTTCTTTTCTTTTTTTCTTGTTAACAATTTTTTTTTTTTTTTGGTTAATATATTTATTTCTTTTTGTGCTTTGTTTTGCCATTCAAAAAACATATTTTGCTTTGCCTTTCAAGAAAACAAATTTGTGCTCTGTTTTATGGTTATTGGATGCTTGTATAGTTGATGGATTTACTTTTTTATATTTGATAGTAATTTTCAGAATATTGATATGACTTATGAGATATGAATGTTATTATGGTAGTTTAAATTTTCAATTGTGCGCCTTACTTCACTCAGGCGCGCGCCTCACCGTGCGCCTCACGCCTAGGCTCCAAAGGACCTCTAGCGCCTTGGTGCGCCTTGTGCCTTTAATAACTATGATCCCAGCATGATGCTGGTCTATTTCAAGCGACCAGAAAAAGTTAGAAATAAGATTGCCATAGTTGCTTTGTGAAATTTCTTATTTGTTAATTTGTTGAATAGAATCAACAATACTTGATAGGGTAAATTACACTCACACCCCTTGAGGTTTGACCTTATTACACACTGCGGTCAAGATTGGCCTTTATTGCACTGACCACCTTATTGACTGACGGACGTTAAAAATAAAGTGAAATATCATTTATAACCTCCATTTACAAGATTAAAAAAATAAAATAAAAGTACCCTCCTTTTAACGATATTATTTTAACTAAAAAATATGACATGCAAATGTCATACCCCTCGCCGTGTGATTAACGCTCTCCTCCATCATCCACCGCCCATCTCCACCCCACCCCACACCACCCCAATGCCCACTTCCACACTAGCACCACCTTCCTTGGCGTACCGTTGTAGAGCCGCCGCTTTTAGATCATCACCTGACGAGGAAATTTCTCACACTGCTTATTGATCACGGTTGTTAATAATCCCAAGAAATGCTCCTTTGTCACTAACAATCAATCAACTTCGATGGGTCCTCCTTCGCCGCCTCCCGCCGCTGCCAGAAAAAAACCCTCGTCTCCCTGTCATCGCCGTCTTTCTAGAAGTCATAGCTGGATTACCGCCAAATTTTGCTGGGCCCCATTGAGGCTCCACCGTCGATCTTGATGATGACCTCCCAGCGGTCAGCAAGATCGTCGGTTCTCATTGCCTGGTTGTGGTCATCGTGGTGATTGGAGAGAATGGGGCATTCTTCGAGATAAATGTCTTCACCACCACCACTGGCGGATATTTTTTCTGGAGTGTTTTGTATGAGCCATGAGATTAAAACGGTTTCTTAATTGAAAAAGACAAGTCTATTAAACAAACACTTTCTCGGAAATTTATTGGATTATGAATACCACAGACTTTGATGAACATTAATTGATCAGTTTTATTATAGAATTTCCATATTGTAGAAACTTTCACCTTTAATGGTTGATTGCTGTGTTTGCAATTACAGTGCCCGTGATGGTTTCCTAGTTTCAATCTTTGTCATTTTCTAAGAAATCAAAGCCTTGGCAAATTTGCCGTGTTAGTAGTGAATCTGGTAAAGACGTGGATGGAGAGATAAATTTTTAAAAGCCATGGAAATAAATAAATATATATATATATATATGTGTGTGTGTGTGTGTATGTATGTATGTATATACACTATACAAAGAGAGTGAAGGGTGGATATCATTGTAATTTATGAATCTTAAAAGGGTTGTTAATGTCTTTTCAATTAAGGAAAGGGAAAATCTGTCATGACACTAAAAAATTCTGACGTTTCTGACGGAAAATTAATGTTAGGGTGTCATGGTTAACACGCGTGAGACCTCTAATAAAGCCAATCTTGACCACCGTGTGTAATAAGGACAAACCTCGGGGGATGTGAGTGTAATTTACCCTACTTAATATTCTCTTTATAATGATGTATTGTCTAGATTAGATTTGTGAATGTTAGATTTCTGCTTCTATATCCTTCCAATTTACCTGGGACTAACTGTAACACGGTAAATTTTGTTCAATTATGTGGAATATATATTACTAGGGGACATCTGAATTAGTTTCACATGTTTATGAATTGTTGGAACTTGGATTCTACTTTCTACCTCAATAAATGCACTCTTATGAGACAGATCCTAATCCCCATTTCATGTTAGTGATGCATGAAAAATTTTCCTTTGACACTCATTAGCTGAGATCATAAAGAGCCTACTTTGAGTAGAAGTGGAATTAATGCAATGGATACAGAGCATAAACCTATAAGTAACTAATTCCATACCATTTTTTCTAACAGTGCTTGAAGCTATTATGCTGGTGATTTGATTTTTACTTCAAATCTCGGTGCTTCGCTCTTTCCAGTTTGCGATCTATGTTGACGTTGATCTTTATACACGATTACATTTACAATTGTGTATACATTAACATTTGGAAATTTATGGACAATAACACTGTCATTGACCATCAGATCAGTACTTTGTAGGCCAAATCTGCTGTTTATTTATGGTCAACAACTTGCCCTCAAACTCATCTCATGTATTTTCTACGAATTTTGCTGTTGGTTACATTGAAACTTGTGACTATAGTGGTAGATTAATCCATGGAATATTTTTGTGAAGCTTATTCTAATATTTCAGGAAAATAAGCGCTTGCCTTTTTTTTTTCTTTAATTTTTATTTTATATTTTTTTAAGGCCACCAGAATGGTAAATTGGGCTATTGGCAGGGAGTTAGCTCCCCTTTTATTTCGACTGCATACTATAGAAGAAGTATAGACTCGACCGTTCCATTTGATTACTAGTTTTTTGGCTGCATAAATTCATTCTTTCAAGAATCCTAAAAAATAAAAAAAAAAAGGCTTCCCACATTGCAGAATTCTATCTATAGACTGAGGCATCTTTATACTGTCGTGGGATTTTCCTTTCTTTCCTTAAAAAATTTCTTGTTTAAGCCTTTTATTTCTTATTTAATTTACTAATCAAACACAGTCTGTTTCATTTTATTCAGTGTTCTTAATCATGGGGAATTTTGTGTAGTTCTTCTAAGAGAATTTTCATCTTCACTAACTTATTTCTAGAGGAGCTTAAACTGATGAATTTTTCCATTGGGTTTCTGTATGGCAGTCATATCCGAGCAAAATTCCAAATTTTGGTGTCAAGTATTTTGAGAAAAAAAAAAAAAAAAAATTATTTCTATGCAAAAGTTGACAAGGGATTTTCCACAATGATTGATAATCAGAGTGCCTATATAATTGGGTTACCTTTGTTCGTTATATTGAACTTGAACGGCATCCAGAATGTAATGCTGTAAATGTTAGAGTTGATCACGATATGTTATCTGCTACTTAGATGGTTGTCACTGTCTTCATGCAGGGATGCTGACACTATCATGGATGCTGTAGAATTTGTGCTGCAAAACTTCACAGAGATGAATAAACTTTGGGTTCGGCTGCAACATCAGGTTTGTTTGGGTTCTCCTGAACTGGTATCTGCTCTCATGCTTTGACATGCATGGCACCTCAGTACTTGCATGCCACAGAGGTAAAATGAATCATGAGGGCATGATTTTTGGCCATGCAGGTGTTTTAGTGCTTGTGATACATTCATACTCTTTGGTGATCCTGAGTTGAGGCCTTCAATCGGGCTTTCTGGTCTGCAGGGACCTGTCCGGTTCAAAGAGAGTCAGGAAAAGGAAAGAAGCGAGCTTCGTGATCTAGTAATACTGGTCTTCTGAAGCTGGTCAATTTTGCTAGATTAGATTACTTGTGTTCAGATTTCCAAAGAGACGTCATTCTACCATCCTCTGAATTTTCAGGTTGGGAAAAACTTGCATGTTCTCAGTCAAATAGAGGGTGTTGACCTTGAAATGTACAAAGACACCGTCCTTCCCAGAGTCTTGGAGCAGGTCTGTCTTCTATGTCACTTGCACTAGTTTTTATTTCTGATTTGGAATGTTCTGGTGCAAAATATTCTTTCTAATCATTTGTGCAATGTGCGACCATAATTTTTTGGACAGATTGTCAACTGTAAAGATGAGCTTGCCCAATACTATTTGATGGACTGCATAATTCAAGTCTTTCCAGATGAGTACCACCTGCAGACCCTTGAGATATTGTTGGGTGCTTGTCCCCAACTTCAGGTGGATAACATAATTATATAATGGATATTGTATGCTCTTCAGGGATTTTGCATTTTCATATAACTAGCCAAATATAAAATCTACTTGTTTCCTGACCCATGATATTAGTATCATATCTAGAGTTTGTGATCATTCTTCCTTTCCCTCGTAGGAATACTACGTCACGTAATTGACATTTAGAATGCACTATGTTTGATCACAATGTTCTATTGAATTTAACCCTACAATTATGGAGTTCCTTGATTGAAATGAATTATTCGCCATTCGTGTTGATTGTATGAACTGTTCCTACTTTGTTCCTAATTTGTCTAATTTTAGTTTACAAAAATCTAATTGACAACCTACTATAATCTGAAGCAATTATGAAATATTCCGCATATATGTGATTCTATCTTTCTTTGTTGTTCGTTACTGTTAAGCAGTCATAAAAAGTGAAAAGTGACGTGCAATCATCATGCAGATTTGTATTCCAACCCTATTGCATGGTGATTCTCTTTTTCTTAAGAGTTCCCATGGCACCCTATATAAAGATTCGAAATGTTAGTTGATTTTTTCTCATAGGGATGAAGATTCCAATTCTAGATGGGTACAAAAGGGGGTGCATATGGTCCTCTCATTTAAAACTATCGATGTAATGTCAGATATCTGAATGTGAGATATGTGTGTGTGTGTAATGATGATAAGCTTAACAAAAGTATGGCACTACTACTCTCCTTATGGTGGTATCATCTTGATTTTTCAGCCAACAGTTGATATCAAGACAGTGTTATCACAATTAATGGAGAGATTGTCAAACTATGCTGCTTCAAGTCCAGAAGTGAGTTGTTCATATGCCTCTTTCATGCATCTTCTTCTTCTTCTTCTTCTTTAGTTCTTATAATTTGGGTGTTATGCAGATATTACCTGAATTTCTGCAAGTAGAAGCTTTTGCCAAATTAAGCAGTGCAATTGGGAAGGTAAATCTAGATTTATTCTACTATGATAAATTAGAAGTCTTTCTGATTGTTTTTATCACCATGAGGTTTCTCATTTTGTCAGTAGCTTGCTTTGTTACAATCACACCATGCACAAATCAGCGGATATCATCCACAAAGCTTGCGACAAGCATGTTTTTTAGAAGTAACATGACACTTTTAACAATATTTAATTTTTCTTTTCTTTTCTTTTTTTAAAGTTTATTTTGCAAATGAACAGATATGCATGCTGAGTTTACAAAAACTAGACATGCAAAAAATAATTCATATAAAATTTACCTAATTCATGCAAAGCATGAAAAAAGAAGTGAAAGAAAAGGGCACCACGTTACAGGCATGTCTCTATGTGGAATACATCAACTTCTTTGTCTTGGACTCTTGCATAAATTAATTCCAATGCAACTGATTCTTAGAGTAGAGAGAAATTTACATTTTAAAAAAATATACAATATCATTGTTAGCACTTATTGAAACCAATTATCTCATTCTACTTATGATCTACTACAAGAGTTCTAGGCGTTTTAGTGTTTGGCATACCATGTTCCAGTTTTTGTTCTGAAACGATCCATTTTCGAGCTAATATAGGTTAATATCTGTAAAACTACCCTCAAATATGCGTAATCAAGTGCTTGTATACAATATTTCACTTGAGATATCAATTTTTTCTCAACTTTTTCAATATTTGAGGTTAATTGCTTGACACTTGAGATATCAATTTTTTCTCCACTTTTCAATATTTGAAGTTAATTTTTTTATCAAGCTAATTGTTACAACATGTACAAAATATATGGACAGTCTAAAGATTAATATTAAGTTCTTGCAATGGGAACTCAGTACATTTCTTGATAAATCTAGGTATTCCTAATTTATTAATTTTTTTTTTGTATAATGTAAAATTTATTGGCAATATATCATGTATGCCTAGAAGCCAGAATACTTCTCTTTGAATATGTGAGGCTAAATGTTTAGCTGTGTAGTGTCCCAGGGAAGATTTTTAGATATTCTTATTTTTCACTTTGCATGAGACTAATCATTTAAAGCTTTAGACTAATTTATCTATATGATTTTTGGAAAAATGATGAGGTCAACTTGATTTTCCTATTGACAAAACTGTCAGTATGGACTATATTGAGAACCCTTACATATTAATTAATTTCTGGAAGAAAATAGTGTAAATTTTATGCCAAGAAAGAGCAGAATACAATTACATTATGGCTATAATACAACAACAACAAAGCCTTTTCCCAACCAAGCCATTATGGCTATAATGGCTGTATAAAATTTGTAGAAAATTTAATGAGAAAAATACTTATGGATGTTGCACTGTTAATCTTAACAGTTGTGTATATCATACTAATTGTGTACATATCACACTTTTAGTGTTTTAAGATCAGTGTGGTCCTCATTAAATTGTCAATCGAGTGCCCTGGGTGTGGTAGACTGGGTACAACCTAATCCTTGACATTATTGCACAAAGTAATTGCTCTCCGGATTTGCACCTGCAATTTGATGACTGCATTACATATTCACAATTTTAATTTATTTTCCCAAGTTGATCACAATTTTATAATTATTTATTGTTAGGTTGCCCCTAATTTTATCTCATCACCTTTGGGTGAGCTGCCTTTTAGTTACATGCTTATGCTTAAAAAAGGGAGAAATTATATGTTGCAGTGATAAAATTTATATATTCACCAACAGTTTTTCTCACTTGATTATCTATAGCTAGTTAACATCAGGTACTTCCCTCTTTCCTCTCTATTGGTATCACATGGAGAATGTGGCCAAAATCACAGTAGGATTAGTCCAGATCTTGAGTACTTTTGTTTGCTCTGAAGTTATCTTTATATTAATCATCTGGGATACTAAAACGTTTTTGTTTTTGTTTTTTTTAATGTTTTTCTATATATTATCATAGATGTATATTTTTAGGTTAGGGATGTCGTTTTTTTCTAAAGCAATTTAAGAAGTTGACAGGTTTTATTTGTATGACAGGTGATAGAAGCACAGGTGGACATGCCTATTGTCGGAGCCATTACTTTGTATGTCTCCCTTCTTACATTTATTCTCCGTGTTCATCCTGATCGACTTGATTATGTGGATCAAGTTCTGGTATGTTTCTTTTCGAGCTGATGACATTACCATATGGAATTTAGAATGTTTGTAATTTTGGTGATCTTGTAAGCTAAAATTCAGGTTAAAATCAATTAAGCTGTTTGAAATTTTTGGGGAATTCTCTCTCTCTCTCATGCTTTTATTCCTTTTCTCCCCAATTATAAGAGCAGATAAGGAATTGATAAATAAAGAGAAGGGGGGGGGGGGGGGGGGGGGGGGGGGGGGGGGGGGGGGAATTGTACTTTAGATTGTAAACAGAATACCCTTTTGAGTGCCCACAAGTGTTATTTTACATTGACTGGTGATATAGTCAGTGTGTACATTTATAGGTTTAATTTAATTGACGTGTCCATGAAAGCTAGAAATATTCTTTAGAGCTATATCACATGGGGTTGCCATTGTGGTCCTACACACACATTCATTTTTGTGCTAATTATGAACAGGGAGCATGTGTTAAGAAACTCTCTGGCAAAGCAAAGCTAGAAGACAATAAAGCAACGAAACAGGTCGTAGCACTTTTGAGTGCTCCATTGGAGAAATACGATGATATTGTTGCAGCCCTGACACTTTCTAATTATCCCCGTGTCATGGATCACCTTGATAATGGAACAAACAAAGTCATGGCAATGGTTATTATTCAAAGCATTATGAAAAATAACACTTGTATTTGTACTGGTGATAAGGTATGCTTCCTCGTTGTTTCTTTCTTTTATGTCGGTTGTGCCTTGAAGAAAATGTGGTATGCATCCTTGTTTGCAGGTTGAGGTACTGTTTGAATTAATAAAAGGGCTTATGAAGGATTTGGATGGAACTCCTGTGGATGAGGTGCATATTAGAGATTCATCTAGTCTGCTATTAGTTGTTAAGTTTGATGCTTAGGATACCTTGCTGGAAAAATTCCTGGTCTGCAATAATTCCTTGTAATCTTTCTAGTCCAGTTGATGAACAAATAATGACCCATCTCTCTCTCTCTCTCTCTCTCTCTCTGTGGCAATAGCTTGATGAGGAGGATTTTAAGGAGGAGCAAAATTCTGTCGCTCGCCTTATACACATGCTGTATAATGATGATCCGGAAGAGATGTTTAAGGTAATGATGCGTTGCAAATCATTTAGAATTAGCCATATAATTTGATACTAATGGTAGTAGCTTAGTTCATTGCTGCATCTTCAGTCTCTTTAAATTAAATTTTTTGAATAATTTTATGGTGACTTAACCACTTTTGCTTTTTAAATCTTTGTTTAAGAAAGAGATGGTATTTGTTATGGAAGGACACCTATATCTGTCCAAGTGCTAAGCCCAAGTAGTATCTCCTCTTCCTTCCAAATGAAAGGTTGAGGATCTGACTCCCCAATGGGACAATAATGTGTGTGTGTGACTTACCTCTCATAAGAAAAAAAGGGATATATATATCAGGTGTAATTCTTTAAAGTAGAATGTCAGTGAACAGCACTCAATGTGACTTGAGAGGTTTTTTTCAGTTTAAATGACGATTATAGAATCATGACTATCTCTTGACGATTTCAATTTTTCATACATGCTGTATTGATAATGTTTGAGTTGCATTGGTGCACCGTGTGCAACCTCCTTGTATACCATAGGTTCTAAGAATAATGCTTCTTCGTGCTGTTCATGTCACATCAAAAATTGTAACTCCTCTATTTTTTATTTTTTACCTTTAATTTTTACTTATAATACTAATTTTTCCCCTATTGCCTTCAGATTATATGTACTGTGAGAAAGCATATTATAACTGGAGGAGCAAAACGCCTATCTTTCACCGTTCCTCCTCTTGTTTTTTCTGCACTCAAGGTATGTTTCTTCCTTTTGTAACTTGAAAGCTGCTGCATTATCTTGTTACTCTCTCTCTCTCTCTCTCTCTCTCTCTCTCTCTCCACAATAGGTAAGACACACACTCTCACACTCACTACTGTCCCATTAAGGACTTGAACCCTCGATTTCCCACTTGGGGAAGAGGAGAATACCACTTGATCTAGGCCCTTGGTTCATCTTCTTGTAACTGTGTAGAACATTTTAGACATACTATGTATACAAGGGACTGGCAACCTAAAATGCGTTAAGAAATTATTGTGGGTGTAAAAATTAGCAGCTATTGTGCGTGTTGTGGCATACTTCTTATAACCTTTTTTTTTTTTTTTTGGATAAATAGCATACTTCTTATAACTTGTGGTTATTAAAACTTTAAAAGCTTGTTAGCACCTTCGAATATTCAGATTTTGCTCCTCAGCGGACATCTGACCTCTGGCATAAGTTGAGGCTTTCTCTGAAATGAGAACTTTAAATGTGTTGGCTGGACAGGTATCCAACACGGTTAGAAGTGTCTTGGAATTTGAACATTTTTTTCCCAGTTGGACACAGCTAGGACACAGCACAGACACAATATGCACACAGTTAAGACACATTCAGGACACTTTCAGACAGAGGATGATAGTTTTCTATTTATTTTTCTTAGAATGGGTTTCCAATGCAATTTTAAAATTTATTAAGGGTTAATTAGAAATTCAAGATAAAGTTTTAGAAAAGTAAAACAACATCCATTTAGCTCTAAGCTCCAAATTAGTGATTTTATTCATGATAATATGGATAAAATGAGCAAAATTAATTCTTTGTATAAATAAATTATATTCTATTAACCATTCAGGAATATATATATATATATATATATATATATATATATATATATATATATATAATATTGTTTGGCATTCCCTGCCATATGACCTATTTTTTTTTTTTTTTAAGATTCTCCATATCGATGTGTCCATATCATGACACACTCATGTCCCGTTTTGGGCTTCCTAGGTATTTGAGCCACTGTGCTTCTCCTTTTCCAAGGTTAATTAAATTACTGAAGAAGTTCCTCCCCGCACCCCAATTTTGTTTGCCTCAATTATAATGAGTTTTTGGAAATAAGTATAACTTATATTTTTTCCAAACGCATTGGAGTTTTAAATAAACCTTTTTAGCCTTATATGAAGTCCAAATCTTCTAAAAAAAGTATAAGTTCATTATTTTGGTAGTCCATACTGGAACATGTAATTACTACATCTACATTTGCATGTATATATATATATATTTATATATATTACACACACACACATGTATAATATTGATTATATGATGTTCAATAAAGACACATGAACCTTTCTTGTCAGACATTTTTGTTAGATAGTGTTATTGGATAGTGTTAACAAGAAAAATGTCTAAAAATATCAATGAGTTTTTGGAGAACCAGAAAGAAGGAAAGACTAAAGCATAGTTGTTAAAGGTGCGCCTAGGCTCCGAAAAAGCCCCAACCTCATCAAGGCACCTCAACGTACTACAGGCCAAGTGTAACAAGGGTCATTTGTCCCACATCGGATCCGGATGGGAAAGTGATTGGGTATAAATGGGTGGGTATGTAGCACTACCCAATAGCTCAGCTTGAGCTGTTGGGTAAATGGGCAAGCGCCTACCCGTTACACCAATCCCCTTCAATTGGCTCACATGCCCTCGCGCTCACGCTTTTTAGTTAGCTCGAGGCTAAAAAAAGGCATGCCTTGTATTTTTTTATCATTTATTATATCATTTCCTTTTTTACTTATTGACTACTAGATTAAAAGGTTCTATATCATATATCGTATTGTTTAACCCTATGAAATATTTGACAAATTAACTGCAATTACTACTTGACAATGAATATATATAATAATATATGTTTAAATATGCATTATTATATACACGCGCTCGTGCCTTATACCGCGCCTTGCGCTTAGGCTCCAAATTGCCTTTGGCGCCTTAGTGTGCTTTGAGCTTTTAACTACTATGGACTAAAGTGATGTGTTCCTGGGATAATAAAAATGCCAATAACAACAATAATGTCATATATGCTAATATTTTTAGTTGTCATTTGTTACAAGGAAATTTTGTAGCTATTTTTTGTATAAGTTATTAAAGTACTTATGTATTTTGTTCCTAACAATCGCGTTTATATTAAAGCTTGCAAGATTTTGTTTAATTAAAATGGTACAATTTTTTGTATTAATCTTTCATCAAGATGATAATGATATAACTTCCTCAAAGTGGAATTAAAGTACTTTTTTTTTTTCTTCTTTTTTTTCAAAAATAGAAACAATTGGTAGAGGAAAACTATTTTTTTAACAATATTTTTTCTTTTGCCAATTCTCTTTTTATATGTAACTTTTCTTTTCCTCTTTTCTATATTTTTCTTTCTCCTCAATATATGTTTTAAGACTAATATTGTAAAATATGAATATATAGTATATACTACAATTGGTTCCTAAAATTTTCAAATTCTAATTACATAGTTGTAGGGCCCCCCCAACAACAAAAAAAAAATATATTAATAATAAAAAAAATAATAATAAAAAAAAAAACAGAATTCCTGGCTCTGCCTGTGTAAGAAGGCCATGAATGGAGTGGCCGAGAAGGTTTCTAAAAATTGTTGGCTTTTTATTTGTTATTTATTTTTGCATGTGCTTATGAGTACTAATTTCTGCGTTTTTTCCTAAGTTGAGTGAGATGAGAATTGTTAAACCAATTTCAATCTGCCGAACTCTTTCTGCATTTCAATATTTAGGTTAATATAGCATTTCTGCATTTCCTGACCCACCAAAATATAAGTTGTTGAATATATAGGGTGTGTTACCACCTTTAATGTTTTATTTGTGGGCCATGCATGTTACTTCTTATCTTCTTGTAGAACTGGGCTGAAGGATGTGGATGCCATAATGGAACATGCATTCCTGGCCTATAATGAGAAAATATTAAAGGATGCCACCTGCACTAGATGTGCAAACTTGCACGCTTTCAGTACGTCACACCTGATGCCTATCTTGTCAAATTATGCAAAATTTAGAAGCTCCATTTTCCAGGAAAACGTTTCTATAATCTCCTGCCAATTGTAGTCTAAACTAATAAAACTGCAGTTGGCTATATGTTATTTATTTATTTGTTCTCCTTTAATGCAGGTTTAATTAAAAATATTGAGATACTAGTTCATGCTTACACGACCTAGTCTAAAAATTGTCTGTGGCTTGCAGTTGGTGAGGCAATTGCAAGGTCAGGATGGAGATGTAGTTGGAGAAGAAACTGTGACGCCAAAGAAAATCTTTCAGCTCTTGAATCAGGTAACATTGCTTAAATAAATTTATAGTTGATGTCAAATACAAGTATTCAAGCCCTGTATGCCATTGTTTCTGCAAGAATGTAAGATGATTTGTGGGGTAGATGATTTTAAATTTTGAATGTTGCTTGGAAAGTAATTGAAATTATTCTCATTTATATTTTTCACGTTCCTGATCAATCTAGCTCTGTTAGTGGCCCTCGAGACCGTAATTTCTATTTTAATCATTCACTCATATTTGGGCACCACTATGTACTGCTGCTGACTGGCGGAGGATCTCTCTTTTTCTAGTTGCCTGAGTGCTGTTCGTCTTAACTGGGTAGTTTTATTATTTTTTGGCACAATACAGGTGCAAAAAACATATATATGCCGTGTTGTTATATGCTCTACTGTGATTGCATAATCTTTTATTTTCATTCTGTTAAGTCTATTGAGGCTCTTTTGTCTGTTCTATAACCTGAATGTCTCCTTATTTCTCCTTGTTGCATCTGACGACACAAGTAGATTTTGTTTCAGACTATCGAGGCTCTTTCATCTGTTCCATCACCTGAACTGGCTTTAAGATTGTACTTGCAATGTGCTGAGGTAAGAACTGGGAACTTATAATTCTTTGGCTACTGCAGATTTTTCATATTGTGTACTACTTTAGATATGCCATATTAGCATTATTGACCAAATTCATTCTGCTTTCTAATGAAATTTTATCAATGTACATCTTTTCCTGCTTTCTTTTTCAGCCAACAGACATGTTGTAAATGTTCATCACTGTAACTATTGGTGGTGATAGTTTATTTTTAATTGTATTTGGCTTTGATTGTTTGATGCTCAGGCTGCCAACGACTGTGATCTTGAACCGGTCGCTTATGAATTTTTTACTCAGGCATTTATATTGTATGAAGAAGAAGTTGCGGTAATTTCTTAGAGATCAATTTCTTGTGGTGACAGAGTCGATGAAAACTCACATGAATAGATGATTGTACATTTTTCTTAATTTGTTTCTGCACGTGATGGTATTGGCCTCAGGATTCCAAAGCTCAGGTAACTGCAATACACCTAATAATTGGGACCCTTCAGAGGATGAATGTATTCGGGGTTGAGAACAGGGATACTTTAACACACAAAGCCACAGGGGTAATACTGTTTGATTTCATCAGATTATTTAGCATTATAGCCTGTTTTCTCCAAAGCCTGATATGATGCTTTTCCCGTGATCAGTATTCAGCAAAACTTTTAAAGAAGCCGGATCAATGCAGGGCAGTTTATGCATGTTCGCATCTCTTTTGGGTTGATGATCAGGATGGAGTCAAGGATGGAGAAAGGTATGCAACTTTGTCTTCAACATTATCATATTCACCACAGTCACGTCTCTGCTGTTTGGCTTGAATGATATTTTCTGCCGCTCCCAATGGAGGAGGTGCAGAATTCAAGTCCCTTTGGGACAATATTTCACACAGTAGTTTGTGTGTTTTCATTAATACGATCGTGCTTTGTATTTTCTAAAATGGTCAGTTTTAGCAGATTTCTGTACCCCCCCTTTTTTTTGTCCATTTTCTTTTCTTCTTTGATAGTATGTTTTCTGGGCAGAAAATGTTGTAGCCTGTCATTGTCCATCTAGTTTTGCTCAATTGTGTGAACCACAGAGGAAATGACATATATATGTTTTTTTTTTTTTTTTTTTTTTTTCCTTTTGTAATTGCAGGGTCCTCCTCTGCCTAAAGCGTTCGTTAAGGATTGCAAATGCTGCACAACAGATAGCGAATGTTACACATGGTAGCAGCGGACCTGTTACACTCTTTGTTGAGATATTGAACAAGTTAGTAGATTGAAGATTTGATGAATCGAGCCATATTTTTTTTATTTACAGTAACTTTCGGTTTTATATAAAGCTAATTTTTCTTGGGCAAATATGCTTCAGGTACCTCTATTTTTTTGAAAAAGGAAACCCACAGATAACTGGTGGTGCAATCCAGGGCCTTGTAGAATTAATAAAAACAGAGATGCAAAGTGACACAACCACCCCAAATCCGGCTTCGGATGCTTTCTTTGCGAGTACATTGCGATACATTCAGTTCCAGAAACAAAAAGGCGGTGCAATGGGTGAAAAATATGATTCCGTCAAGGTGTGATCATTTGGAGATTGTAATGATGTTGTGAAGTAAGCATGTAGAAACCGCAGACGCATTGGTGTGCATTTGGAGCTGCTGTTGCTGGGGTAAAAACGAGTGGATATGAATCGAATGATCCGGTGCATTCCCTCCAAGAGTGGTTGGTTCTCTTTTTATGTAAATAATTTTATTTTGTTTTATATTGTTAATTTGAGTATATTGTTAATTTGAGTTTGTGGGTGGGACTTTTGGGGTTGGGGTTGGTAAAAATCTGTTTCATTGTATTTTGATCATGGGATTGGTAATTGTTTCTGAAACCCGATACATTGAAAAACATTTGTGAGTACTGAGTAGAAATAAAAAGCTCTGGCAAAAGACCTATGATGGACTATCACATGGATTGATTGTGCTGATCCGAGACCAGACTCTGTTTTATCGAATAGTGATGTCGTTTCATCTTTTGAATACTTCAAAATTCAGCCTATGAATACTTGATTTTAGAATTTTATAGTATTGTCTGATAATGAAATTTATCACTTATTTCTCGACAGATTAAAAGTATTTTTTAAATTAAGTGTGTTTTGATAATAGAAGTTGAATGTTACTTATTTCTTCCGTCTCAGAGTACATGTCCTCGGATTCAACTTTTTATGGTATTAGAGTTTTAATAATTTTTTATTATATTGATAAGAGTAAAATTTTAAATATGTTCTTATTAAAAGATAAAATAATGTTTCGTAATTAGTGTACTTATTTAGTTAAAATGATAATTTGAAAATGTTATAAAAAATAGTACGTTCAATTTTGAAAATGAGACATGTTTTTTGGGGATATTTTGGGACGTTTACAAAATGAAATGTCATTCTTAGATTGAGAAAGTGCTTTGAGATTTGTAAAAATTCAAAAAAGTTTTTTAATAAATCTTTTAATTCATTGGTTAAATTTCCATTGAGAAAGTCTTGTGAAAAGTCAAAAAAGTTATTTAATAAAATTTTCGTTTAAACAAGAAAAACTCACTCATATTTGTAAAAAGTCAAAAGAGTCCAATAAATCTTTCATTCAAACAAGAATAGCTGTGAAAAGGTTATTATGATAACATTACTCTTTTATAATATTTTGCACTTTATTTATTATGATGGAACATGTTGCTAGTGATCATATTTTCTGGTTTGATTATCTACTAATTATTTGTTATTGAATCCGTATCTAATTTTGTTATTTATTAGAGTTTTAATATAATATACCCAATTTGTTAAGAGGTTTATTTTTTTCTAAAAAAATTAATATATATTTTTTAAAAAATTTTTGAGAGAAGGAAAAAAATATATATATATATACAAACAAACAAACTAGATTCATGAAATTGATACTGTTTATGGAATGAGGTCTAGTTGTTACACCCTCCATTTATCTTTCAAACTTAATCGAGCACTTTTAGCGATGAATCGATCGAAACATTTGGTAAGAATAAACATTATTTGGGATCAGCTTTAAAATTTGAAGATGAATTCATTCTGAGACGTACCACATCAACAAATAGATGTGTCCCGCCCAGTCCAATAAACTATTCTTATTATGTCAGGTACCGTTCGTTTTTATAAATTTTACTAATTTTTTGGCGTGATTGAAAACAATACAATGAGCTTTATTACACAGAATTTATACACCGTCGCTGATATCGTTGAACTCGCAACCCATCTTGCGTTTGATATCCCCACAACTTCACCATCTACTCTGACCCAATCTTCTACAGGTGAAATCAATCTTTGTTTTATCCTCCATTTTCAAAATCTATTACAGCATTATTTTGTCCTCCGTTCTCAGATTTCATCACAAAAATGCATCTATTTTAAAATTTAGTTGTCAAATTACAAATGAGACCACTCTTCTATTTTTAGGCATCCTCCTCCTTAATGAAATCTCCTTCCCCCTCCCTACTGGAGGGTTAGGATGCATTCTAATGAATCGTTAAAGATTAAATTCTTTTCTAAAATCTACTATAACAATTTAGAATTATTCATGCAACTACACAATTTTAAAAGACTCTAAACGAAAATCTCTGTACCTCCCGTATAAAGTCATGTTCATGTGCCTGCGTGGTGCAACTTCCTTTAGAGAGGTGACAAGAGGCCTCACCACACAATTCATTTGCTTTCAATAACATTATGTTCTGGCCATTTGCCCTCATGGTATGAATGATATGATATTATCTCCTCTTTTTTTTTTAAAAAAGGTTGAGAATTCAGAGTCAGGAGAGGCAAGGTGAGCCTCTGAATTTGTTTGAACTTCTCAAAAATAAAAATAATAATAACATTAACTAGTACGAAGGGTTAATAGGATAACCAAATAAAATTTCACTATTATTACTTTGATAAAAGGCCTAAAGTATTCATATTATTATAACCACAGAAAATTTAAACCCCTATTAATATGATAAAAAGAGACTAGAGTATTCATATATTATCGTTTGAACGTTTTACAATAAATTTTCATCAAAGTGAGCAAGTAAAGCATAAACTTGAACTTTAGCTTACTATCAAGAATATGTGCATCAAGCCTTAATAAGCAAAATTGGGTCTTACTTACCTTCACATATTTCCATAGGTTGGATGTGGCTCTTTAAAGCATTTGAATGTGGACTAATTTCACCACCAATTTAGCCACCTTTAAGGCCTATGACAGTGTTGTTTGTAAGGAATTAACTTGTAGAACAAAGTATAGCAACTCAACCTGCATAAACCCTCAACAACTTCCCACTTTCAATCAATTTGTTATAATTGAATTTACAAAGATCATGTTTGTAGAAAGAAGATAAAATTGAGGAGAAAGAGAGTGCCGTAATTTAGTTAGATTTTCGTAAAAAATGGAGAAATGAGTTTGTTTCAGCTTGTACTTTCAACCTAAATTACACAATCTTCGTAATGGGTGTCGTTCTTACACTCCAAACATATTTTTGCTCAAATTCTCATTATTTGTAATTTAATTTTGTCGCTCTCGAATTCCCTCACAAATCACAATTGAAATCCCAACTCCAATAAACAAATATGTAAATAAACATATAGATAACAAATGAACAAATAAAATCCTTGTAAGTTGCGGCTACAAAATTATTATTATTATTATATATATTTTTTGGAAATTGAAATATTCAAATTTGGGAGCAACCATAAGTGAAAAAGTTTTTGATACCCAAATCCAAAATTGTTATAACGTCTATGTCATGATCATTATCAAACTTGAAGTCACATGAAGTGACAACGTGAGCAAGAACAATTTTGAGGGCGAGCCGCATAATTAAGTCATAATAATCAAAATTTGAGCCACGCAAAAAAATATGAGAATAAAAAATTATGTAACTTACGTCGCTGAAACACCCCAAATTTAAAAATAAAAATAAAAATTCAACAACAATCTCGTTGATCCAATCAATGCAACAATAAAATATTGAGGCCTCAAGGATGGTTGAAACGAAAAACAAAACCATATGTACAAAAAATAAAAACTAATAATAAAAATAAAAAACTAGCCATCATCGTTAAACCCTAGTTTTTTTCAACAGGGGTGTGAAACCAGTACAAGCATTGTTGGTATCCTTGCAAGAATCGAGAGCCGCCTCAGATACCACATTGAGGAAATCATCCAACCCTAACCTACCGAACCTGTGCTCGTCTCTCTCCAGAAGCTTCAACACTTCTCTGAAGAACCCAAAACAAACCCACCATCGCTCTGATACCCAAACTCTTCTTTGGCCTAGTCAAGCAGAGACACCAAGTTTTTTGAACGTCGCGTCCCGACTTCTGAAACTTACGTGACCCAATCTTCTCCAGGTGAATGTGTGGACTCTAGAATTCTGTGTTTATTTAGAAGAGGTGTTTGAAATCTTATTAATTTCTTAATTTATACTAAGTATTTGATGATTTGCGCTCTTAAGATTCTATAATCTTCGCCAGTTAGTTACTCTAAGTTTATGATCTCTCTTGTAATTTCTTTTTTGAATTGAATTGGTTGATGTTAGATATTAATTGGATTGCCGTCATAATTTGACGTCTTGTTAGGTTGTAAATCTCAATCCTGTTAATAGAAAAACTCTTTTTACCCTAAACTCAAGAGTAAAGAAAAGACCCAAACTCTCACAAGCTGCTAAAAACTCTCCCCTTTTTTTTTTCAATCTCAAATTTGAAGTTTTGGTAGCAGAAAAACAACACAGTCCTTTAGCTTCATTAGGGTTGCAGAGTTTCATCTTCTCTCCTACCTGCATTTCTATACCTTTTGTTATTCCTGCCCTCCAATCTTCTGGTAGATAAAGGTTTTTCCTTTTGTTTGTACTATATGGCCACACAAATATATATGTGTTTATAATTATATGTATATTGGATGAAACTTTTGCTACACTTTTCTGTAAAGGTTTTTATCTTAATATTGGGTTTCCAATGCTTGTTTGTTAGGTTCTGATGCGTGTTTTTTGCTAAGTGTCTCTTTTTAAGCTGTTTGCTTGCCAAGAAATTGTAGTGAGGAAACGTAAAAATATGAAATGTTATGTATTTCAATAATCAGCTGATTTTTCCTTCATTTTCTAGGAAGCTAATCAATTATTACATTTAATTTGAACCCTATAATTTTCTTTTCCTTAGTTTTTTCAACAATCAAATGAGTGGTCAGGTATTTAGCAGGAACATAAAGTGTTCAGCAGGCCGTCTCTTATTGGGTTCACAGATTCGTGTGTCTATGGAACATGACCTGTGTATTTAACAAGAACGTGTAATGTCACCCATTTCATAAACAGATTGAGTTAAGATTGAGTATATTGACACAATTAACAAATGGGCCATGTTTGGTTTGATCATTTGATAGAACATTCCCTACACTAATACGACACATCTCGATTTCTACATCTAGCAAATTTCATTTATGAGTTATTATTCGTGCATTCACAATTTTTCTTAGCCTATTTCAAACCTCTAGGGGCCTATTTGCCTGCCTAATTTTTACTCACAAACTAAAATTATTCTATCATGATTCACAAAATTCTAGTAATTAATTATGGAGAATGGTCTTTGTTACCGTGTATGTGAACTTTGGGTTTCTGTACGATTTTCATGTTATGTGTGATTGAACATGAAAATCCTTTAGAAATCCAAATTGAATTCAAGTTATATAAATTCAGTATGCCAAAATTTCATATTGACTTATGTTCTGACCGAATGGTGTGTTTCGATGGATGACTGACTTAAAGCATCAGTTGGTGCACTGAATATTTGGATTTTCATTTAGTTCAATTCAAGCATTTGATTGACATCTACAGTGGACAATAGAAGGCCCTAGCTTAACATGAAATCACATATGTTGATCATTAGAAGTTGCCAACAAATAGTTAAATAATTCTTCAAGGCGAGAGCTTTCTTAAACTATTGCAGTAGCTTCAATTTTTTTTCATTTATAAAATGAGTTGGTAATATAAACTTGCTTGAGTTATGATTGCTGGGATATGTTGCTAACGGCTTAGAGGTTGTTGTCATGGAGATGTGGTGGTATTGGAAAATTGTCATTTTGTTTTCTTTTTCATGGGTTTGTGTTCGTTCATGGTTTCCTAGTTGTATTATGTTGAAGGAAGATTATTATGAGCACGAAAATGTCTATTCATTGTTTCCTAATTGTATTATATTGAAGGAAGACTATTATCAGTGCAAAAAAAATGTCTTATCTTAGTTTCGACTGAGTACTAACAACGATATTTTATATTCCAACTATAATCAAATCAAAAGATTTTCATGTCAAGTAAAACTCAACTTCTCACTTTCTTTTCCTTTAAAAATGAGAAATGAATTACCTTATATTCTTTTTCGATATGTACCCTTTCTATCCGCCATACTAATTATGATTTTACACAAGTTTATTCAACTAGGAAAACCTTGTCGAACTATAGGTTCTCCCAAATGAAAAGCATTTTTAAAACTTTCGAAAGCAATATGCATTAACAGATTAAGAACTTTTTCTCTTTTTTAATTTTTTTAAAAATATTGGTTTGTTTGCAGATTATTTTAGCAGGTGGTAACTCATGGCATTTTGCCGTAAACGTGATTTCTTGTTCTGCGACTTGTGTGGAACAATGTTATCTTTCACCTCCATTAAGTATGCCGAATGTCCTTTGTGTAAATTCAGGCGAAGAGCCAAAGGTATTGTCATTTACATTTTAGTTCCTCTTAGTATTTTGTATGCTCAATTTGTTTGTATTATTGTCTCGTTACAAGAAATCTGCTACATGACTTGTAATGTGAACTGCTAGAAAGATTGGATTAGAGGGATTCTGCTATGTTATATTCACCTTGTGCATGCCTTATGGTTTTTATTTATATCTTTATAAAAGTTTAAAGGTATTCTTTCTGGGCTCACTTTTTTTAGGAGTATTTGGTTTTTTTTTACAATGACAACGAAATTTCCTGCTGTAATTATTTCTGAAGTTTTTCATTTATTCACTTAAAAAAAAAAAAAATAGTTGTTTGTTTGTAAATGGATTTTGATTGAAACTTTGATTGTTCAGATAGGCTAGTCAGCAGAGTAATTGAAAACTCACAATATTTTAACTTGATCAAGCTTGGTACTTTGATAAACTTTGTTCTCTGAAATAAAATAATAAATAAGTTGGAGCAGTAGTGAAGATTGCCTATAATTTAGGAAGAAAAAAAAAGATTGCCTATATCTGTTTATAGGGTACCCACTGTTTTTAGTAATTTCTATTCAGTAAAATGCAGACCATGTGTTTTCCTGTAAATTTTCACATCTTCTCGTTCATACTTTTCCCTAGTAGTCATCATTGAGGCTACTCATTATTTTTATTTTGGTAAGATAAGAAAATTAATTAGCATCGCTCCAAAAATTGAAGATATTATGTCTACTAATCTTTTGAATTTATACAGTGCCTTAATTAGGCAAACGTTGGGAAAGATATGTGGAATTTTCAACTTTCTCTAATACTATATTTTTCTTGGGAAGTGGGGCAGTTAATTCTCGTCATTATGGACTATTGAAAATGTTTAAAAGTTTACTGCATCGTTGATAAGTAAACTTAATGCATGTTTGGTTATTTATAATTGCCTAGATCAATTGAAAGGGCACAAAATGTTCTTAATCTATCCCTAAATGAGGGAATGTTGTCCCTGGATTTTTAGTTACCTGGACACCTAGCTTAGAGCTTTAGATAGTGCCTTTTTGGTAGCACTTTGAATGTAGTGAGGTGAATTAGTTTAAAATTTTGGACTTCATATTTGTTGTTGTTGTTTAAAAAGTCATTTACTGAGAAAGCTCAAATGTTTACTCAATTCAAGTACTGCTAACGTTGAATTGGGAAAAAGTTCATTATTAATAAGCCGTGGAATTTGGCATCTAAGCGAGCTTGAGGGCTAGTTGGGGGACATCATGGCAAGGGGAATATATTTGTCGAGTTGAAATGCTATAAGACTGTTTTACTACCTGCGCACATTATAATTTAAAACAAAAACAAGTGCTAAACAAGGTTTCAAACTTCGTGCTATTTTTTATTTTATTTTTTCAAGCTCCCATATGAGATAAAATTTATAATTAGTAAGCATTTATCGTATATATTACTGCATTCTTCTCTTGATGTATTTGCATGATTTTGACACTTCATACTAGAAAGTTTTTACTAGATTTTCTGGATCTTCCATTTATAATTATGCTTGAAATACAATGGCAGTTATATTGTATAACATGGGTTTGTACCTCTCTCTCTCTTTTCTTCAGAGTTTGCTGGAAGTGAGATAGTTTACACTGTATCTGCTGAGGTATGCCTTTGACTGCAACTTTAACAGGATTTTGAGCAAGTTACCATGCATTATATTTGTCTGTATCTAAAGCTAAGGTCCAAGTTGTAAACTTAAAAATATTTAACATAAGTAGCACTTTCATATACTTTTGTTTCATGGTATTTGAGTTCCATATATGTGCATCAATATATTTATACATTTCGTTAATGATTATTTGGTGCAATTAGATCATTAAAGTTACTTTACACAAATGTGAAAGCACAAATCATAGCTTAGTGGAGAGAGTGTTATTCTCAAAGTAGCAATTCTTAAACTGATGATTATTACACTAACATTCATTCTCTATTTTGTCAGTTGATATGCTTATGCTAATATAATGTACTATATTGTTGTTGTTTTGGGTTCAAGTGTAAGACCAACATTAGGTTTTGGCATTTTTCATATTGTTGTTGTTTTGGGTTCTTTTGTAAGAGTAAGACCAAGATTTGGTTTGGCATTTTCCATATTGTTGTTTTTGGTCGTTGCTTTGAATAGTGTAGTATGTTAAACAAAGGTGGGAAGATCTCATGTTTTAACAAAATAATGTACATTGCTCATGGTTAGTGGGTTAACAGGTTAAAGTCCCTAGTCAAAATGTCTATTCCATGGCCAAATTACTATGTGAATAATGGAGGTAAATGTTACTCTCAAATGAACCTTTCTTTACGGGGTGCATAAAAGGCTGTGGTCCAAGTTACTTATCAGACGAAAAAAAAAAAAAAGAAAAGAAAAGAAAAGGCTGTGGTCCAAGGCTTGCATTAAAATTCTAGATGCCTACTCAAAATGTCTGTTTCATGGCCAAATACTCAGTTGTGAATATTGGAGGTAAACGACTCTCTCAAATGAACCTTTCTTTAAGGGATGTATCATGTACAGAAGACTGGTCAGTCTTTGCATTAAAACCCTAGATATTTTATTTTGATTTTATTATTTTCCTTCTGCCTAGAATACTGTAGTATGTCAATTCAGGCAGTAAAGTAAATAATTTTAATAGATTAATGCACATTTGCTCGTGGTTAAATGGTTAATAATGTTGACACACCTACTTGAAATGTCCGGTTGATAGCCAAATTTACTAAAAGAATTCGAGCTTTTCTATTGTAGCTATAAATACTTTAACAAACATGGAAAGGCTGAGAATCATATTGGACTGCCACTTAATTAGGAAGGTGATATCCAATGAGATTACAGCCTGAGTAGCATCAGCTGTGGATGGCAAACTGTACTGTTTAAAGTAAATTTAAACGCCTTCTTTGTTGTCGTGTGAGATCATCTTGTTTACATGTCAGCTTACTTGAGGACCTTTTAACTGAATTTGCAGGATATTAGAAGGGAGCTGGGCATGCCTTCATTAAATGATAACGAGGAAGAAGATGAGGAGCCGGCCAAGCGAGAAATAGTAATTGCAATTTGTGATATTGAACTCGTCATTAACTACCAAAATTAAAAAAGAAACACTTTTCTGGGTACCTGATTTGATTGTTCTAATGTTTAATTTTTGGCAACAGGACAATAATGCAAAATGTAAGGAGTGCAATAAGTTGGGGCTCTATTATCACACGAAGCAGGTGATCGGCGGAGCACATATCCTTTTAAACTCATTCTTTGATAAGTAATTTTTTTTTTTTTTTCCAATCTATCGCTATTTTCTGTCTACAGATCCGATCTGCTGATGAAGGACAGACTATTTTCTATGAATGCAGCCATTGCGGACATAGGCGAACTGAGAATTCTTGAAACTTTCTTTCTATCTACATGTCTAAATTGGAATTGTATCACTAAACTACTTTGATTTTCAGCTTAATGAAAACTTTTTTTTTTTTTTTTTGTAATGCACTGCTCTTCAATGAATGAGTGCTACTTTTCCAAGTTAGTTTTGATGTTTAATAATGACATGGTTTTTTCGTTGAAGAAACCTCTTGTTCCTGGGAGCTTTCTTAAAATTCATTTTTCCGTGGTACTGCTCAATCATTCATCTCCAAACCAAGATCTTTGAGCAAGTGTCAAAAGCACTCCTACGAGTTGAACACTTGATATTTTGTCGACTCATATACCAAGTTGAATAAATATTAGGTGCATCGAGCCATAGTTACCGTGCGCACGTACGGGGCAGATGAGCCCCGCACGCGTAATACCTTCTCAAAAAACCGTCAAAAAGCAGAAGTTTCCAAGAGCCTACCCAAGATATTTTGTTGAACATTACTGATCACAAAAATGTACGTAATATTTTCCTTCTTGTTATTAGTATTTGTGTGTGTGACGAAGAGTTGACCGAAATGAACACTAAATACATTTTGAGAGATCTCCAAATTGCTGGTATGGTTATCAAAATCGTGAGTATTTGTGTGTGTGACGGAGAGTTGACCGAATTGGACGCTAAATACATTTTGAGAGATCTCTAAATTGTTGGTATGGCTATCCAAATGATAGTATCAGGACCTTTCGCTGATGTTCTTGGGAAATGACATGATCTGATCCATTTCTCGAAAGAAATTTTTATGTGATCCCTATTTATCAAAATATTTGGAGGAAAGGTTTTCCTTATTGTTATTAGTATTTGTGTGTGTCATATTGAAAGACATAAGAGACAAATAGTAGATCAGAAAATACAGTAATCGTTTACATTGTAGTAACGGAGAATAAAACGAAATACATGTAACACCTCAGGCAACAACTACCTTGCCTAAAGCCTGGTGTGTCTATATAAATTAATACTCCATATATATATATATATATTTGTGCACCCCATTCAAAAACATAGGCGGTGATCACAAAATTACACTTAAAACATATTTATCAGCATGTTGGAGTTCATGCTCTTATTTGCGTAACCATAATAACAGCCACACACCACATTGAAAGCGATATGATTCACTTCACGGGAGTCGTAGAATTCGCCTGAGCTTGTCCGTCGCTCCGGCATCGATCCCGCCGACCTCGGCCTTGCAGCTGAGCTTTGGCCTGAGAGAAAAAGTCGGCAAAGGCAAGCTGCTCGGCGGAGGAGACAGGATCGACGACATCGAACCTGAAAACTTCTCCAAGTCACCGTTATTTCCTGATGAAGAAACCCTAGAAACATCCTTCAGAAAATCTTTAGGTTCAGGTCCCAACCGATCAGTGGATGTGATGATCAAACACTCTGATGATGACGATGACATCGATTTCAAATCTCGATTTATGTCATCTCCTTTCTTCGGACTGACGATGGACGGCTTTGATTTCTTCGGGGTGAGAGATTGAGCTCTGGTTCGGTTGATTTTTCTGTTGATCGGAGGGCACGAGAGGCCTCTGTTTCGGGAATTGTTGTCAGATTTGGAGATCGGAAGAGGAAGGAGAGGTGGTTGTTTTTGTGGTTGATAATGATTGAGAATCGAAAGTGAAGGAGTGTACGTGGAGTAGGAGAGAGAAAATGGAGGCGCGTGAAAAATTCCCCCGCCAAAGTTAGACGATAAGGTTGAAGGAAGCGGTGCTGAATTTTTAGAAGACCGTGAAATCATAGGTCGAGTGCTGTTTCTCTTAGGGTTTCTCATGGATCTGTAAGGAGAGAGTGATTGATCTGTAGATGAATGTAACATGACTGTCTCCATACTCAGAAAGTGAAGGAAAGTGTGAGAAAATCAAACCAAACAAGAAAAATAAAGGAAAAATCGGCGATGATCTCAAATAAACACGGATCAACAGCCTAAATTTACCAGAAAGTTAAATCCTTTTGTACATACATACACGCACACACTACAAATATCAAAGATCAGATTTTTTGCATGAAAAGAGAACTAAATTTACAAACAAAAAACCAATATTTTCACTAATCTAAAGAGAGATCTATATATATATATGTGTATGTATATAATAAATATACAATTAAGAACCCTGTATTTTCAGAGGGTTTTGTTGAACTCAAGCCTTAATTTAGAACGCGGAACTTTCATGAAGGTGTGTGTGGGCTTTAAATAGATGATGAAGACTCCAACGGCTACTTTATTTTATTTATTTTTTTATTAATATATAATTTATGTCGACGTAATATATATGTATATATAATTATATATATTACTATTTTCTTCCTGATTCGTCGACAACACTGTGTAGTCAGCTACGGGTTGTACACGATTGGCTGAAAAAACAAAGACCGGCATATACAGTAGGGGCGGCGACCGCCGATGAGATATGGAGCGTTGGATGAGATAATTAGGAATTAGCCGTTAGGGCGATTGTGACCGTTGATCTCGACCTCGGGTTCCTCGAAGCTGGTGTGGACCGAAAGTGATTTTGGAGAAATCCTGGCCATACACGTGTTGGGGATTAGTTGGCCTGGACCATTTTTTGGAGTATGGGGCTGGAAGTCCCTGTAACCCTCACGTGGAGGGTATTGGGTTAGGCAACATAATTTAAAAAAGAAAATTTATATTGGGTAGATCTTTTCTTGGCCCAAAAAGCATAATTGGCCCTCTTGGGATAGGCTGTCAAGAAGGAAACTTCACTGCATTGATTTTGCAAATATCTTTTTTTTTTTTCGGAAGATAAGGTGTAATATGCAAATATCATTGTTTGGCATGGAAAGGTAGGTAGGAAGAATTGGTGAGACATTTTTGTAAATGGTGAGCATGATTTATGGACACGGTATAATGAATTTAGATAAATATTAGTGTAAATAGTTGAATCAACGAATTCATAGAGGTGTGTAATAATATCGAACTATTAAAAAATGGTACAAACCAATTATAGACAAATACGTTGAATCATGACGGTGAGTTAAGAAAATGTCTCAGTCATTCGTTAAATTTTTTATGGTCTTGGTTAATCATAACTCGTGACGCAAGTAAATGTGTCAGTTTTATTCAATTTTTTACTTATATAAATATTTCTAGTCCGAGTCTATATGGTTCGTACTCTATTCAAATTTTTGTTTGGATGTCATGTGAACGGTCTAAACCATGTAATTCCATAACATATAATAATTTCTCTATTTATTTATTTTTTAACTCTCCCTCGTTTCAAACGATGAGGAGTTGTTCCATCTTTTGTCTTTTTTCACCTGCTAAACACCGTGTCAGAATTATAATATATATATATATATATATATATATATATATATTCATCGGGGCCATGCAGAATGTGCACCCAATAATAATATATATATATATATTATTATTATTATTATTGGGTGCACATTCTGCATGGCCCCGATGAATATTTGGGTCCAATAACTAATTGTTTATTATATGTTATGATAAATAGGAGGACAAAGAATGGAGACGGTATATGTTAGTTCCAAGAAATAAAAAAAATATAATAATAAGAAAAAGAAAAAGAAATGATGGTAGTGAATTGATAAAGATAATGGAGAGAAAAAGAATGGTAAGTCTATCGTAAAGATAATTAATTGATTGATCTGGTGTTTAATGTTTTCAGCACGTGGTAAAACCTCTATTTTTATTTAATTGTTACTGGATAATCCTTACAATGTAATCAAGTTTGCATAAAGTCTTTAGACATGACCTACAAGTTTCGTGTTCAACTTCTGGAGAGGTTAAAAGTCTCGTCTACCAAATACCTTTTCGTTTTGAAATAATTGTGAATTAACTTCGAGAATTGACCTAGATAAAATTTGAGTTTGGTACTTCATAAAGTGGATTTAAAATTAATTTATTTTAATTTCAAACAACTTTTTAAGAATCACGTCTATGAACATAGTCTAAACTTTATCTAAACGGTGTCGACACGCATTGTATGAGTCCGTAAATTAGTTGGGACAAAGTCCAAACACCCTGATTATCAAAAGAAAAAAAAAAATTTAAAATTTTTAGAAGTTTAGACTTATTGAGAATGTAGACACTTTCTATTATATAATATGAAGTAATAATAATAACAATTAAAAATTAATAAAAGAAATAAAATCATTTTATCGTGTGGTGGTTAAAGACCAAAAGTATAAAAATAATAATAAATATTTATTATCCCCCCTTCCATAATTTGAACCCTCGACTTTCTGCTCTGAAATATTAAAAAGTGTTACTAAACTATATTGTTTTTTGTTTAAAAAGAAAAAAAAAATTTGAAGAAAACTTTTTATTTATTATAAAGAATTAAGATAAATAATTATTACAAACTTCCCTACTTTTTCTTTTCAAATCCTTCCAATTCGAAAAAGCTCTCACTCATTTCATTTCCCCCTTTTACTTTTGAACACTTTGAATTCAAGTAGGGCTAGTGTTTGTGATGAAAAGGAATGATAATAATTTAGCTTTTAATTGGGCTTCTTGACGAAGCTTAAAATATTGCTGGTCCCATTGAGTTGTATGTTAAATTATCGTAGTGTCCTTAGATACTATTTAAAAGACTGGTAAGCCCTCCTCGTATCACACGATGCCTTGATGCGCAGTGCAACGAGTACGACCCACTCTGGATGAAATTGACTTTTCGTGGTCTTGATATTGGAATTGACCCCTGTTGCGTTGTTCTTATCAAAAATTGGATATCAAACTGGTCCCACTTAATTGTCCATTCACAAAGGTTGTTTTCATTAGGGTAAATTATACATATCTTCTTATGTTTAGACTAACCCGTTCGTCTGTTTTTAAAAAACGACGGACAATTTATTATGTATCAAACCCTCGGTATTTCATTAGTTCATAAGAGTAAGCACAAAACTAATCAAATGTTTAGACTAATCTTACATAAGTTGGGCATTTAAAATTTATTACTTTGACTTCTTTTAAGATTATAAAAAATTAATTATATTTTTATCTGTAATATATATTTATAATACAAAATATAATATAAATTTTTTTATAAAAAATCAATTATTCTATCTCATTTCTTTTATTACTTTCTCTCTCCTTTCCGCCACCATTACGCTCTCTTAAAAAAAATCTCATAAAAAAAAAAAAATGAGTGTAAGGGCAACTTGGTCATTTTATAAATTTTTTTTTACAATTCTTAATGGAGAGGGGGTTGTTGATCTAGGTCAAAATAATAAATTTTTAAACGTTTCACTTGTGTAAGATTTGTCCAAACTTCAGGAGAGGTCATTATAATTTATTATTTTCATTTTCCCAGTCATTTTATTGCTGTAATTTGCAACTTAATCCCTCAAGTTTCTGGCTATCAACACATGCACCTCCTAAAATTTTTGGACTTCTATATATCTTTAATTTTTTAAAAAAAAAACTTACAAACAATCCTCTCAAAGTAATTTTGAATGGTTATTTAATCAAACTGTAATATCGTTATAATATTTGTTAAAATAATAAACTCTTATTCGATGTCTTTAAATTGAGAGACTCCTCTTCACAGTAATAGTGTGTGAAAGTGTGACATCTCACGTGGTCAATGGAAGGGTGAGAATTTGCTTAGGCTTAATTATGTGTATACACGTTTTGAAAAAAATTGTGAATATCTAAAGAAGAATGTGTAAAGCGGACAATATCTAAATAGTGTAAATAAATCATGACAGAAAGTGCTACATTGAATGAAGGATGAGATAAAACGTGAGAAAAGCAGTAGAAGAAGCCATTTGAGAAAGAAATGAAACAAAAAAAAAATGTTCAACATTATTTGAGCTCAATATTCATGACTAATTACAGGTTAAAAGCTAGGTTAGGCTAGATAGCCACCACCATCCTCTTAACGTACATGCATGTCAATCCAGCAATTTTCTTTTTCCAAATTTAGTGAAAAAAAGTTAAAATACAATATATAGCTTTTTATAATAATTAAAATGCTGGGAATTGCTCAAATATTGAAGATCACGATATAACCATTTACATTCAATTATGTCTGCGGTAACCATATTAATTATTTGGAGGTGATCTTGCACCCGGAATTATTAGCTTTCCTCATATTATATATATATATATATATATATATAGAGAGAGAGAGAGAGAGAGAGAGAGAGAGAGATATGTAGAGAGAGAGAGAGAGAGAGAGAGAGAGAGAGAGAGAGAGATAGAGAGAGAGAGAGAGAGGGGTTGATAATTTTGACACTCTTTGCAGTCGGTCGAATAGTAATTGCCACCTGCATTGGACACCGACCAGTTGATTAACTCGCGTGGTTATATACATATTTTGTATTTAAATACGTGTGTGTATGTAGTATATATATGACTTAGAGTAGTTGTTATAAACAACTTTCATTGGACACCGACCATTTGATTAAAGCCCCATGTTATATATTGTTATTATGATGCTTTATGATTAGAATAAAGATTCGATCATGCACATTTTTTGTTGTGATAAATGATAAAGTAATTAAAGAGAAAGATAAAGTTTTGAAATCAAAGTTTATCTTGTGACGCATGTTCAAATTTGAGTTTTGTTCAACTTTCCTAACTTTGCTTCTTATTGAAAAAAACACACACATACATACATGCACATATATATATATATATATATATATATATATATATATATATATTAATGATGACAAATAGCTTACACATTATTTTGCTCATAACCAAAGTTCATCTTGACGCATGTTCAAATTTGAGTTTTATTCAAAATTTGTAATTTTCATTAGTTGCTTATTATTTACACACATATATATTACACTATCTGTCTATATAATAAGTATTCACATTTTTATATTTAGTTACCTCAAATAAGTGTCTCAATTCAAAAGTAATATACTACCACATATATATATATATATATATTGTGCCCTGTAGTTACTACCTATGTCCGTGAAAACTTGATCTGCAAACACCGACCATGAGCCAAGGGAGGTGGAGCAGAAAGACGTTCAAGGGCGTCAGTTAGGAAATGAATCACAGGGTCTACCCTCGTTGGGTATTCCAAACCTTCTTTGTTTCAGTGTCTTTCTTATTTGCATAAAAATTGGTGGGTTTGTTCCTTGGTAGTATCTCACACCTTACCCTGGGGTTCCAAACCGCCCTTATCCTAAGCTGGTCAACATCCTTCCCTAGAATCTACATTTAGC